GATAGATAGATAGATAGATAGATAGATAGATAGATAGATAGATAGATAGATAATAGATAGATAGATAGATGAATGGATAAATATGTAGATATATACATAGATGGATAATACAGTTCTCTGAGTTTTTAATGGAAAATAAAAGTCACCAAAGCAGAATAACAATCTCCTGAAAGACAGAAAAGGGTGAGAGAAATGCAGTGTGAAGGTCCCCACTGGTTCACTGCTGTGTCCCTCTTAGACACCTGTCAATGAAGCTCTTTTGTCCACACTGCACATGATACAATGAGATACATCTCTAAAGGTGCTCACCCCTTAGCAATATCCCTGCCACTTCCTACTCCTTTCCAGACTCCGGATCTGGGCAGTGTCCGGAGGACTGCCCTGGAGCTGCTGAGAGGCTAAGTCCCCACATTTAATAGATAACCTGGGATCTCACAGATGAGTTATTGAGCTGTCTGTGCCTCAGTTGCCCTATTTTGACCTAGGGCTGGCAGTGGGACTGAACCCTCACTGTGAGCATTGAACATACTCATCTACGAAGCCTGCCCCCACGAGCCCTCAACTATCCTGAGCTGCCAGAGAGAGCCATGGTGACTGGACTGTCAACTCTCCAGATGGCTTCAAGCGGGTCTTATTATTTTATTTACTGTTGTTATACATGCACGATGTTTGTGATGTGGGGGTCAAAGGACAGATTTGGGGTGTTAATTTTCTCCTTCCACCACAGATTCTGGGGATAGAATCAGGATGTAAGTTTGTACTTTTACCCACAAGCTGTCTCACCCACCCTCCACGGGGTCTCCTACACTACCTCGTACCCAGCTGTTGAAGGGTTTGGGAATAATAAACTTGATGTCCCTGGGTGTGAAAAGTCACAGCAGAGTTTGTCTTCACCCCAGGCCCTGTAGAAGATGAGTTTATTCCCCCATGGCATTCCCCACTCCTAGGCCCTACGCCAGCAGCACGGGAGCTGGAGTGCTGGCACTGTCCTTGCTCTGTGCAAGGAAGGAAGAGCTAAGCTGAGCCTGCCAGCTAAACAAGGTGGCCTGAGAGCCCAGCAGTCAAGTGCCAACTGAGCGAGGCAGCTCTGGGGCCTGCACTGGGTCAAACAACAAGACTAACCTTGTGGCCGTATTATATATGGCCAAGTGTTGGCAGGACCTCCTAACTCAATGATTCTCAACCTTTGGGTCAGAACCCCCACAAAGGTGACTTACCAGGTATTTACATCACAATTAATTAACTGCAGCAAAATTACAATTATCAAGCAGCAACGAAAATAATTGTATGGTTGGGGGCCACGGCGACATGAGGAACTGTACTAAAGGGTCACAGCATTAGGAAGGCTGAGAACCATTGTAACTGGCCTTGGAGGTTCCGCAAGTATTGGTGTCCTCTCTATGGCTTCCTAGTCAATCGGCACAGAGCAAGCAGCCATCCCTGCAAAGACCTCAGAAAGGGTGGGCAGAACCCACTGGAATCCCCTCTGCCTTTAAACCGTGGCTCTTTGCCCCTCAGCCATCACATCACCTTAGAGATCCCAGGCCCGCATGGCCCCTCTACCTCACCAGGCACTCACATGGACACATTCTGGAAGCTTGTGCCATTTTCCTGGCTTTTGGAGAAAGAGATCACGTGGGGTCCATACACTGAGCTCTTGATCACCAGAAGCAGCAGCACCAAGAGGGCTGGAAAGCCTGGAGGGCGAGACAAAGACAGGAAACCCCAAGATGAGCTGGTTCCGGTCCTTGGGCCTGCTGACGGGGGAGGGGGGGTGCACACTATGCTGAGCTGCAGCCCCACACAAGATCCGGCTTCAGAGCCAGCTTAGCGGTCTTGGAAGAGGCTCATCTCCAAGGTGGTATCAGTGAGATTCCGGGGCTGAGTGGCAGCAGTGGTGGTGGTCACCTGGGAGGTGGCAGGGAGCTGACAGGAGGTGGGGGTGGCCGGGGAACTTGAGAGGAAATAGAGACCACAACAAGAGGTTATTGAGGTCATGGTGATGTCCGTGATGGTCCCGCTGTGGTAAAGAAGGGGAGGGTGGCCGGGTGCAGTGAAGGTGAGAAAGGTGATGAGGATGAAGGAGATGGGGTGCCGGAAACGGAAGTAAAGGCAGGTGTGGGCAGGGACATGGTGTGGGTGACGGTGGGGACAGGGGACTGGGGACTGGGGACTGGGGGTGACGGCAGTGCCAAGAACGGAGGTGATGGAGTCACAATAGTAGAAACGATAGTGTTGGAAACAGAAGCAGATCCAGAGGTGAGGACACACAGGGGCAATGGTGCTGCTGGGGGTGGAGGTGGCGGCGGAAGTGATGCCATTGATGGAATAGAGATTGTAGCAAGCACTTAGTGTTGACAGGGATGGTGGTTCATGGTCACACAGCGGTTGCCATGACAGGCAGGGGGACTCGGGGTTAGTACCCGTGCTCTGGAAGATTCAGAGGCAAGTTAGATAGATGTCCCTTACCCCAGCCCAACGCGCAGAGCTTGAGCAAGTATCGGTGGATGTAGACATTGTAGACGCGCCCCAGGAGAAGGTAGAGGTTGAAGCCTTCGACGGCCATCCAGGTAAGGCAGCTGAGCAGCGCATAGTGGAGGGTGGCAGCCAGCACCGTGCACACTGACCTGGGCACTGTGGGCAGGGCCATCTGGGAGCTCAGAAGGAAGGTGACGTTCAGGAACAGAACAGAGCCGTGCAGGTTCATGTGGATGCGTGTGACGGAGTCACTTTGCTTCCTGTGGGTGGAACATTGCCCAGATGGTGCCAGGGCCTGGCTTACAGATGCACAATGATGGGGAAATTGAAGCTGATGGGAAGCGACCCAATAACTGCCACGCTGTTAGGATGGCTTATGTCCTGCAGCCCTTCCCTCTGAGTAGCCCCGCCTACCCCAAGAAGCTGGGGCACGAAGGAAAATGCGCAGCGGAAGTAGGTGGGCTGAGCAGGGCGAGGATTACCTGGAGTGGGCGTACAGTAGTATGGTGAGCAGCGCGGCCACGACAGAGATGCTGCAACCCACCAAGGAGATGTACTCAAGAGGCACCCGTAGCTCAGCGGGCACGGGGTCTCCAGAGAGCTGCTATAGGGCAAAAGGGGCTGAGGGGCTGAAGCATAGAAATGCCCAGCTCTCTCTGGGTTCCGCCAGAGACGTCTCCCAGACCTCAGTTCCAAATCCCTTCCCCACAGCCCAGCCCAGTCCTGCCCTGAATGAAGCCATAGCCCGCACTGTGGTTTTTTTCACCCACCACCTCCCGAAAGCACACTTATCCCAGTCCATACACATAGCTGGGGTGCCCACCAAGCCTGGACCGAGACTGGGTAAGGGAGGCTCTTGAGTTCATTGGTCTAAAAGCCAGCAAGGCATAAGCCTGAAGGGGCTGGCAGCTGTTATTACCCCCAGGACATCCTAGCTGAGGGCCAAGCCAGGACAGAGTAAGCAGAGTTGAGGAACAGAGATCAAATCCTGTCTTGGTATGATTTAGCCCCTGGATCAAGTCGAGCCTGAAGCCTACAAACCTTTAAAGGAAAGCAGGTTCCTAAGTTGACTTGTGTGACTCCAGCCTAGGAGGGTTGGGCTGACCTTACTCCTGTACCCACCCACCCTGGGGCTCCTGCAGCTCCCGTCCCCCTCGCTCGTGGCGAATGCCAGCATACCATGAGAACTGCGAAGTAGGTGAGGTGGTTGCAGCGACAGAGGACCTGAGAGGGTGAAGGCTGCTCTGTATAGCAGCCCTCGGGGCTCCAGGCCCCCCAGCTGTGCTGGCCGGCTCCCTCCTTCCAGAAAACACAGGTCACCGTGTACCCTTCCTGAAATGAGACGCGGGCGCAGGGGGTGGGGGGTGAGTCTAGGGGTGCAGGATGAGATCCCATGTGAGGGGCTGGGGTCCTGGGGCCCAAGAGAGATTCAACTGCACCCCGTCAACATTTTGTGGGTGCTGGCTGGGCTTTAACAATCCCAGATACCAGCCCCACCTTCACCGTGAGTTCTCAGTTGTCCTGGACAAATGGGCAAGCCTCTCTGAACCTCAGTTTATTCATCTGTGAAATGGACTATACATATCCAAGTCCCAAGGTTGGCAGAAGCAAAAAAGGCCATTCAGGGGGTAGGGGTGTGTGTGCAGTGCTGGCTCTTCCTGTGACAGATCTTCTACAAACCACTACTACCTCCTCCCAGACCCATGATGATGGGAGACTCATTGGCAGCCAAGTCCTACGTTGGACATAAGGGGTGTGACACAGACACACTATGGAAAGCAGAAGAGGAGGGACAGAGGGACGGGAGGCCTTAGGGATACAGGGATTGAATGGAAGTGGAACTGGACACTCATTCCAAAGGGAAAGGCAATGGCAAATCTCTGAAGGTGAAAGGGGAGGCTGCTGTGAAGTTGGCAATGCCAGCCTTCCTGCCCAGACGGAGGCAGGCAGAGCCAGAAAATAGCACTTTGGTTCCTCACAGGGAGGCAGGCAGATGGGGACCCAGAAGCAGCAGCAGCAGCAGCAGCAGCAGGAGGAGGAAGAAGACTTGTGCCTCCCGGCTACTCTTTCCTGTTCCAGCATCAGCACCAGCGCTACCCCCACCCCATGTGGCCCAGCCTAGCAAATCCACACATCTCATCCTGGCCACCGCCTGGTTCAGCCACAGACACACGAGTCAGTCAAACCTTTTGCACTGGTGGGAAAGAACCTTCCTAGAATGGATGTGAACCGGTATCTTCAGCATCCATCCCATCTTACCATAGGAATGAAAGCCAAGGCAGGAAAACACGGTTGAGACTAGAGAAGACTGAACTCTAACAGTATTACGTCCATGCCTGGATCCAGCCATACCTGAAGGCGGAACTCCCCTGGACATTCCACTGATAGGGACGTAGAAATCCCCTTTGGTGCTTAAGCTGATTCTCTACAAATCACGACAAAGTTCTTTCTCGTTTCTTTACAGAAATTTTTCAAAGAACAGATTTAAAGTTGTTTCCCATATGGTGCCACAGTTTAAGTTTGGCCAAACCGGGGCTGACGGGAAAGCTTCAGAGGCTGGGGTGGAGGTGGGCCTAACAGTACCAGACTTCGGTTGTGCCAGAAGCTGATGTTGACGGGATTCTGAAGGTTGTTCACAGCCCTGTGATCCAGCTGGGCCCCCAGGACATAGTTGTTGAGCAGGGATGAGTTACTGTCATCCTGGAAAGGCAGTAGAAAAGGGATCAAGTGGGGGGGGGTCAGATAAATCCTGTGTGAGATCAGAATTCTCATCCCAGCCCTCTTCCCTTCTGTCTGTCTCCTGTCTCAGCACAGACATTGATGCACTAAGGTCTTGGGTCTCACTTGCAGACTGCAAGCCTCCCTCACTCCTATATATTATGTTTGAAAAGACCTCAGATTGCCTTGAGTCAAGCCTCTGGGCAGGCTGGTGAGGGATTTTCTGAAATAGGTTAGGCCTGTGCACTCCTGGCCCACCACGATGGACTGCCCCCTCGAAACCCATTCTTCTTTCCTTAAGTGGCTTTTGTCTCTCCCTAAAGCAGGTAGGGAAAGTGGGTCCCAGAGTGGCAGTGGCCACCTACAGTTGCACAGTGAGCTGTCCCCACTCACGGGCCAACCTGTGACACAGAAGCGTCCTTGGCCACCTTCTGCTGACCTGGAAGAGCTGTGCCGTGAAGAAGTAGATGCAGATGAGTCGAAGTCCGACAGGCTGGGAGGCCACACAGGCATCCTTGGTCAGCTCAGCAGGAAACTGCATGCCATGTGGGGCCCAGGCCTGTGGAGGGCAGCAGATGGGCTGAGGCCTACTGATTAGAGACCACAGATCCAGTCCCAACACCTTTGGACTCCCGCCCCATTAAACATTTCCAGACCTCACCTGAGCTCCACTTTTCGATAGCACCCTCCTCCCAGACCTCCCCACCCATCTTCATTCCCCCCAAGAACAGAACCACCCCAGCACCAGCCAAGCATCTGGCCCTGTGAACACCAGAGTCCTAAAAGGACACAGGTGGCCCTGGCTGCTACCAGCGCCAGGGACCGGCCCTCCACCTGCCTCCGAGCAAAATCAGGATGAAGAGCCTGACCTGGGGGGTCCTGGGGTACCTCCTCTTTTTGCTCTCCAGACAGCAAAGCAGAAGAGGCAACTCCCAGCAGATCAGGGCAGAGCATGAACAGGGGACTGGGGGCCCAGGCAGTGGGGGAAGGTCTTGACCGTAAGCCCCTGCAGGCCTTCCCTGGCTGCCTCTGACCTGGGGGACACTTGGTAGGGTGGCACTGGACAGGGAGAGGCCAGGAAAGCTGCAACCCAGCTTGAAGATCAGAGACTGGATGGCGTTTGTCTGCAGCGTCAGGTTGTGTCCGCAGAAGCTGGCGTTGAGCAGCTTCTGCTCCAGGTGATGGATATGCCTGGGACTGGGCAGGAGTGGGGGAGGCGCTGGAGACAGCCTGGGGGTGGGGCCTTCCACCCCCACCCAGCCCTCCCACCATTACATCTCTACTCCCTGCCCCCCCCTCCGTGTAACCCGTGTCCCCAGCCCACGTCTTAGAGTCCCTGCCTAGGAAATGCAAGGACCTGTTTGACTGGTAACACTTCATCAAGGGGCCTCAATAAACTCTGGAAGGGCTGAGGCGAGCCTTTGCTAACACTCCAGGCCCTGGTACCAGGCAGACAGCGAGTGGGTACTCACACAGTGGGTACTCAGTCACCACTAGCTGGATATGTGTATGGCTGACTCACTTCACTCTGGAAGACAAGGTCCGGCCTCTGGGCCGCTCCAGGTTCTTCATCAAGGTCAGTAGTTCTGGTATTGTTTCTGTGGATAGTGGGACTTAGGCCTTGAGCCGGCTTCTCAGCACTCCTCCCCCAGGAGGTCACCACCTACCTGCTGGGATACTTTGAGCAGCCAGAAGGCCCAGGCAGACAAAAAGGGACACGCGTGCATCCATGTCCTCTGCTGGGATCCTCTTGGCCTTGGAGAGGGGAGACCACGGTCGGTACCTCTACCTTGTAGATATTTCTGTAAACACCCCCACCCACCACCCCCGGCTTTCTTCTTTTCTTCTTTTCCTTTTCCTCCTCCTCCGCCTTCTCCTTTTCCTTCTGTGGCTGTTGCTGAGATAGGATCTTCTGTAGCCCAGGCTAGCCTCAAACATGCTATGTAGCTGAGAGAGATGGCATAGCTCATCCCAGTACCCAACAGTACTGAGGATCGAACACAGGCTGCATGCATGCCAGCCAAGCACTCTGCCAACTGAACTACATCTCTAACCCAGTATCGGCAGTTTCTTCACTCCTGTATTTCCGGGGGAACCCAGGCTGAGGCTAAAGACTCTGTCTTTGCTTGAAGATCGTCAAAGCCAAGTGTCCCTGACTCCAGAAAGTTTGACTCACTGAGTATAGCCACCATTAGCTGCTCAGCCTGAGAGTCTCCCTGGGGTTCCTCAGCCTCAGTGGGTGGGGGTGGGGTACTGCTATAAGCAAGCAAGGCATAATCCTGACCCATCCTGTCACTAACTGTACAAATAGGGATCTTCCCACATCCTTCCCCAAGTTTCTCTCCATGTTGACGGACCTCGCTGAGTGTGTCCAAGGCTCTGGTTCAATCCTCAGCACCTTAGGAAAAGAGGGGAATAGATGAATGAACTTCTACCTAAATACAGTAAGATTATGTCGACCCCAAAAACCCTTCCAAAAGGAGACTAAACAGATAAGGTAAGCTCAAAGCAAAGGGCATGATGATGCATGCCTTTAATCCCAGTACTCGGAGGCAGGGGCAGGCAAATCTCTGAGTTTGAGGCCAGCCTGGTCTATAAAGAGTTCCAGGACAGGGGCTGGAGAAATGGCTCAGCAGTTAAGAGCACTGGCTGCTCTTCCAGAGGTCTTGAGTTCAGTTCCCAGCAACCACATGGTGGCTCGCAACCATCTGTAATGAGATCTGGCACCCTCTTATGGCCTGTAGGTGTACATGCAGACAGAAGACTGTATACATAATAAATAAATAAATCTTTAAAACAAAAGAGAGAGAGAGAGAGAGAGAGAGAGAGAGAGAGTTTCAGGAGAGCCAGAGCTATGCAGAGAAATCCTTGTCTGGAAAAACAAACAAAGCTAAGCACAAATCTACAAGACGGAAAATGGGGAGGAGGATGACAGCTGAGACTTTCTAGTGACCCCGAGCAAGTGGCTGCCTGGGAAATCAATTTGTCCATTTTATCTAGTATTGCAATGGGCAGGGGAGGGATTCATGGGAGAGATGGGGAGCAAGGAGACACCAGCTAGTTCAAGGCTCGTGGCCTTGGAAGCGCTTGAGAATGGGAGGCATCAGGGGCCTCTGAAGAGGGGCATGGAAGATGAAGCTAAACACGAGGATTTAGTCGGGGAGATAACCCAGTGGGTAGGGAGGACATAGCCTAGAGGGTAAGCCCTTGACACAGAAACAAGGGGACCAGAGTTTGAATCCCCAGAACACATGGAAACACTGGGTGAGCAAAGTGATAATCTGTTATTCCAGCCTTAAAAGACAAGGGATCCCCAGAGCAAGCTGCCTAGATTAACCACATTGGTTAGCTGTGGGTTTGACTGGGAGCCCCTGCCTCATTGAATATGATAGATAGATGATAGATGATAGATAGATAGACAGATAGATGATAGATAGATAGATAGATAGATAGATAGATAGATAGATAGATAGAT